ATATATATATATATATATATATATATATATATATATATATATATATATATATGTATATGTTAAGAAAGGTGATCGCTCTCACATAAAAGAAACGATAAAGGAATTAGAAAATTATCAAAGAACTCTGTGGACTTCACAAACATCTTGACAAATCTTTTTCTGAAATACTCTCTTACCCTGATCTAAAACTTCAGATGAAATTTAAAATGTTGTTAAAAAGGACAAAGAATCCTCAACTAGAGCAAGATTCCCAGAGGATTTTCTTTGCAAAAATCACTGCAGAAACAGAAAAGGCAATAGCTTTATCTCAAAGGATTTAATGAACTAGGACACCAGTGGGTAAGTATGAAAGAACAGGTAATGATTAAATTCAATGATATTGGAATGTAAGTACAGGGTTAAAAACAAAGTAACAGAAAATACTATAAAGTTGCCCTAGACAACGTAGCCCATATGAAAAAGAAAAACTTTGAAAATAGAAAGCTGGCTCCCTGGTTTAATGCAGAGCTGTGCACTTTGAAGCAAAATGCTAGGAAACTTGAGAGAAAATGGTGCTGTACATGCCGGGAATCCTACCAAGACTGGAAAAATAGTTTACTGCTGTTTAGGAGGACCCTTTGTAAAGCAAGAGCAGCATATTTCTCTTCGTTAACAGAGGAGAATAAGAATAATCTTAGATTTCTTTTTAATACAGTTGCTAAACTCACCCAGAGCCACAGCAATGGCTCTGGCGCAGTGGAACCGTCCTCCCAACCTGATTTTAGCAGTAATGATTTTATGGGATTCTTTATAAATAAGATTGGTTCTGTTAAAAATAAGATCATCAGTACTCCTCCAAGTATGCTTGGTTTATCTCTGGAAGGTGAGGCAATCTCTGAGGTAGCCATTGAATCTGAACCAAGTTTAGACTGTTTTGATCCAGTTGAACTTTCAGAGTTAGTAAAACTATAATCTTCATCTAAGCCTTCTACTTGTATGTTGGATCCAGTTCCAACCAAGTTATTTAATGGTTTCCTCCTCCATTTTAGATGTGATTAATCTATCCCTGTTACAGGGATTTGTACAAAAGGTTTTTAAGGTTGCTGTAATTAAACCTTTGCTCTTGACCCAGATGACTTGCTCAATTATAGACTTATTTCCAATCTTGCTTTCTTATCTAATTTTTTTTTGAAAAAGTAGTTATCAAAAAAGTGTGTGACCACTTACACCATAATGAACTTCTTGAAGAGCTTCAATAACTCTTCATAGCACTGAAAGTGAAAGTCACTAATGATATTCTCTTTGCCTCAGATAATGGACTTGTATTTGTGCTTGTCCTGTTAGAACTCAGTGCTGCATGTGACACATTTGATCATAATATTCCTATAGAAAGACTTGAATGTTTTGTAGGAATTAAAAGAACAGCACTAGACTGGTTTGAATCTTATTTATCTGACAGGTTACTATATATGCTATATATATATATATATATATATATATTATTATTATTATATTATAACATGTTGAATAAATATTAAAATAAAAACTCTTATCTTTCATAAATATAAACATTTCAAGTTTCACGTTTAGAAAGTTGTTATTGAGGCGGAGTGAACTCCATAAGCTCCTCCTACTCCGTGCGCGCTCCCGAGGAGGGGTTTCACATTCTGTTGGGGATTACTTCTTTGGCTCGACACCTGTCTGTTTAAACCGCCATTAAACACAAGAAGAAGAAGAAGGAAGTCCCAGCCGCGGACTTTGTCTGATGACGCTGACAGCTCTTTGACAGGTTACCGTTCTATTATAATGGATACCATTTAGCTGGAATGACGCGGGTGGAACTTGGAAACGCTCATCTGGACATCTAAAAGTTGCATTTGTCTGGTGAGCCTAAATACCAGCTTTCTGAAAATCAGGGGAACAGATAATATCAAAATGATTTCTCTTTTCAATCTTATAGTAAATGTTCCTGCAGCTTTTGTCCTCTTGCGAGATCTATGCGCAACTTTAACAGGATGAATTTCACTGTCCCGCTTTAGTAGAAATATGGTTGATATTTTTAATGTTATCCTGAAGGATGGCATCATTTTAAAAGACTATATCGTTTTTTGTTTGAACTTAATATGTCTCTTAACAACTGTTCCTGTTCGTTTTACAGGCCTCCGTCTCAGGGGCGTAGCCAGAACATTTTAAGGGTGGCCAAGCCACCAATGTACACTGAGGGGGAGCCGAAAAGGGATAGGTGCCAGAACCTATATTTTCTAAATAAAGACTAACTATACTGTACTTTCCTACAGCCTTTGCTTACAAAAAGATGCATATATTTAAACATCCATGCTGTCTGTAGGGGACAAAATTCTTTCAGGTTTGAGTTCTGGTGTGAACATCTTATCTATCTCATTACTAACATACTTTTATCAATAATGGTTCAGCATAAAATTAGTATTTACATGTACTTATATCTACATTAAATGGATTATTATTATTAAAGTAGTTATTTATCTCTAATTTCACTGAAGACTCAGAGGTGACTTGGATAGACAAGATAGATAATTTTCTATTCACGCCATAAGACTTAATGTCGTTGTAAAAAGAGCATGAATTCTGCAGTGGGTAGCACTGCTGCCTTGCAGCAAGAAGGTTCCGGGTTCGATTCCCAGCCCTGCATGGAGTTTGCATGTTCTCTCTGAGCATGCATGGGTTTTCTCCGGGTACTCTGGCTTCCTTTTACAATCCAAAAACATGACTTTTAGGTTAATTGGCTTCTCTAAATTCTCCTTAGGTGTGAGTAAAGACAATGGTTTGTCTCTGTGTTGCCCTGCGATGGACTGGCAACCTGTCCAGGATGTACCCTGCCTCTTGCCCATTGATAGCTGGAGATAGGCACCAGCACCTCTCGCGACCCCACTTGGGATTATGCGTGTCAGAAAATAGATGGATGGATGTTAATATATGAAGAATTAAAATGTTAAATAAGTTAGAATATTCCACTTAAGAGTATTGCTGCTGCCACCATCTGTATTAGAGGGAAGAAATGGTAGGGGTGGACAATGATTGGCCCCCCCATCTAAGCTCCAGCTCTGCTCCGTCTGGGGGCCAGCTGTAGCCATGGGGAAGGCGAGGCAAGTGTTCCCACAAAATATTAATTTGTGGCCACAAATTAATCTTTGATTAACAAATTAGTATTTTGTAGGAACAAATTAATATTTCGTGGTAACAAATTATCATTTTGTGGGAATAAATTAGATTTATTTAGCCACAAATTAGTATTTTGTGGGAAAAAAATTTGTATTTTGTGCACATGCTCTATCTCTTTTTTTCTCCCATGTCAGTTCTGGGGCTCTGTATATTTCAGTGGCAAGATAATTTTAAGTTTGCTACATGAGAAAAATAATGTTATATTGCAGTGGCATAGAGGCAACACAAAGGGATAAAGGGAGTGTCTATCTATCCATCTATCTAGTAATCTCGATATCTATCTAGATATATAGACTGGGACAGTCCTTATGTGTTATTGACTGAAGTTATTAAAAATAAATGAATAATAATAATAAAAAAAAAAAACAGCTGCAGCTTTAAAGCAAAACCCCACTTTATGACTCAGGGCTGCATCTCCTAAACTACAACAGATGGAGAATTTGTATAGACCTCTATGAAAAATATAATAGGAACTACGTTTAAAGAATAGAAAAACGCAGCAATAAAGGCTGTGGGACTAATTATATGCTGGCTGAGGTAGTGAGAGGTGATTTTCAGAGAGGGATCTATGAAAGTGAAGTTTTTCTTTTGGAAGAGAGATAAGATTCGCTTTCCTGCACTGTCTGAAACCGTCCTTTGATCAATGTCACTTAATTTAAGGGTGTTCTTTACATAAAACATTTCTTTTTTTTTTTCTTTTTTTACAGCAACGGAAGGGACGTTTTGTGCCATCTATGCCAGCCAGAATCAGCTTCTCACTATAGGTGTGTAATAATGTCTATTACCACTAGAGGGCAAAGTAGTGAAGTTTTTAATGAAAGCTGGACCACCTTCTCTATTATTCTTCAATAACTTAATTTATCCTGAAGCTAAGTGTTAAAGCTGTTAGTAATGCACTTGATTAATTTCTTGAGAATAACATTTTTATCAGATTATAAACACAAGTATGTATTGATGTAATATAAATCCTTTATCCAACAATGGAGAAATTCCCTCTCTGCATTTAACGCATCCTCTTGGGGAGCAGTGGGCTGCCATAGTGCGGCGCCGGGGGATCAGTGTGGGGTTAAGGCTTTTGCTCAGGAACCCAGAGTGGAGGCTGTGGGAATTGAACCGTATACTTGCAGCACAAGCAGGGGCTTTAGCTACTGTTGCTTTTCAATCATCTGCAGGCACATTACCTGTTCTCCTGTCACAACATCAAGAAATCTCCCCAAACCCAACTGTAGTCACAGCATATTTTCAATCTATATCATTTCAGACCATTTTTTTTTTTTTGTAGAGCCAAGAAAATAGATCAGCCATTTTTGAATTACTTGGATCGATCTCCTGGACACCAGCAACCGTGCAACATTTAACGTTACCTAAAGCAATGTGTTGCTCACTTGGATTCTCAGTTTTAATGACTTATTTTCCCTTTATTTAACAAAAAGTAGAACTTTAAAGAGGCAATAATTTTTTGTACTTGTCATGATTTAAAACAATGAAAGTAATTTATTGAACTTTTTGTTTTTTGTTTCTGTTTTTTTTTCTAGTTTTTTTTTTTTTCTAGATAAAGGAGTAGACCTTTCCACAGCATGTAAGTCTTGAATATTAAACATCAACTTTTAGTATTTAAACTTAAATAACCAAACGGAAAATGAAACCATGTGTATTTTCTCCTAAAAGGTGCTGGTGTTTGCCTGTTATCACGGGCTTTGTGTTAGTAGGCGTCCCATACATAGTTTGCTTTGTGGCCCAGTGGATCTTTGGCCTGCCAGACAAGCCAGGTTTTAGAAAGTACATAGAAGCTCTAAATCCAAGGTAATTTGTAGAATTCTTTTTCTTGTCGTCTTCACACTCAATGTCATCATTCTGACAGTTTTCATTACCAAGAAGAGTTTCATGCATATTGTTTTTTTTTTTTTTCTATTCTATCAGGCGCATATACCGTTTGACCTTTGTCACCATGGATCTTCTTAAATACTTTTATTACCTTAGACTGTACTATCAGATTAAGTCATGGTATAGAAACGAAAATAACAGTCAGCATCACAAGAAGGTAATGATATTCTAATTTTAAAAAGTTAAATGATTAATTTGAATAAATCCTAGTAAATAGCTTTTCTAATATCATTAACACCCAGTATTCTATCTTTTGCTTGGAAGGGGATAGTTTATGGCCGCAGAGGCAACAAGCTGGACTATTACTATGCTCCTAGAAGAAATAAATACAGGAATGGGCTTCCCCCTCTGGTGGTGTTTGTCTACGGCGGTGCATGGAGCACTGGACACAGATCCACTTACTGTTTACTGGCGAGACAGATGGCTGAAAACATGAATGTGGCTGTTGTTTGTCCTGATTACTCCACTTATCCAAAGGTAAGAAAGCCCAGTTTTCAGATGATTTGGTTCCTTGATGAATGCAAACAAGGGTTCCACCAATAACTTTTTATATCGAAGCAATAGTGGCTCTTTGACGATGCAACAGTAAGAAAGGGTTTGGTCAGAGAAGCTTTCAATATCTACACAAGTATTGTTGAGGTCATTTGGATGCCCAGTTTCTTGTGAATTTCCGTTTATATTACAGAATATATCTAACACTTTTTATTCTAAAATATGTATTTCCCCATTTATGTACGCAAGGTGCAGCTTTTGCAGGTCTTGGCATTGCTCTTATTCAAACATTTTATACTTTTCCTCTTTTATTCTCATCATTTAAGCCTTTTTCCTCCTCATTGTCTCCCTTTTTTTGGAACAGGTGAGCAAAAATAAACAAAAAACTTCTCCCTCATTTTTCCCGTCATTTTAATACCCATAATCTGATTTTAGCTCTCTGCAGGCTAACATCTCAGAAGCATGATCACTGACAGCTTTAGGGTAAATCTCAGTGCCTGTTTCTTTATGCCTAGAAATTAAGAAAGAAAATATTGAAGTAAAGGCTGGAGGTTTAATAAATCACTGCTTGAAGATGTAGATTATTATTTATTTTAATGAAGGATGGACTTTGTATTTAGAATATAATGATCTCCCTGGAGCATCAGCATCTTTGCTCTGGGAGGCTGGACAGGCAGTGATGAGAGGTAAAATAATGTCATTCTCATCATATAAGAAGAGAAAAGAAAATCAACAGGAATTCAATTAAATCCTTGACCAAAAAATAAATAAATCTTAATAAACTATATTTTGTATTGGAAACTTTACTCTCAGAAAAAAGCTGGAAGGGTTTTAGCTAACCAGCTTAAAATAAATAAATAAAAGAATAACTATTTCTTCAATTATAGACCAACAGGGAAAACTGTTTACGATCCAGATAGTATAAAAAGCTGTTTCACCACTAACGACTGCTAAACTCCAGGAAGCTCTCAAAGACAAGCTCAAGAAAGAAGCTCCAGTCCCTGATGGATTTCTAGTTTGATTCTATGGGATATTCTGGAATGTCCTTTAACCAACATTCCATAGAATGCTGCATGGAACTGAGGAGAAGGGCAGACTTCCACCATAAATTAATTCTGCAAAATATTAGTCTCCTGCTAAAACCAAAGATCCTGTCTATCCTACCAGCTATTGACCCATATCTCTGATTAATGTTGACCTTAAAATAATTTGTACAGCTCTTGCCAAAAATTTAGAAAAGGAACTTCTTGTTTAATCCACTCAGATGGAACTGGCTTCATAAAGGAAAGGCAAAGCATGCATCTACCAATGTATGCAGATTAATAAATCGAATAGACTACATTTAAAACTGATCATATTGCCACTAGATGCAGAAAAAGTGTTAAATAGAGTTAATTGGAAGTTAATTCTAAGGTTGTTTCCTTCTCTATGTAAATTCCCCTTTGGTAATGATTTCATAAAGTGGTTTCATCTGCAGATGGGCACTTGACAAGAATGTCCGCTTTCTCCCTCATTGTTTGCCATCTTTATTGAATCACTAACTGCAGCAATCAAGCAAACTAATGATATTAAAGGTATTCAATGCAGGAATGTAGAACATAAAGTAAGTCTTTATGCAGATGACGTATTACTCTTTCTCCAGCACTCAACAAGCTCGCTCACTGGAGTAATAAATTGTTAGTATCTTTCTCAACAATCTCAGATTATTCTATAAATTAGTCAAGATCCATAGTCCTACATATTAATTGTTGTTTCAAAATCGCCCAATAAACAACTATTGTCAGGGAATATACATTATTTAGGCATCAACATCTCTCCGAAACTGGTAGATTTATTCAAATGAAACCACATCTCACTATTTAAAAAAGTGGAAATTGTCTTGCTAGATGGAAATCCCTAAGCATATCGCTCATTGGTGGGGTTGTTTCAATAAAAATGATGGTGCCTGTGTCTACTGCTCCTTCTAGCCCCGTTGGGTTCCTTCTAGGTAGTGGTGCGACCCCGGGCCTTTGACCTCTGGGCTCTCCACTACCCAAAGGTTTTTTTTGTTTTGTTTTTTCGTGTAAATGTGTCTCCTGTAGATGTTTGTGACATTTTAAGCTTGTTTATTAGCAGTAGACCCAGACGACAGTTTTTTAAAAAAAATACTAAAACCATTCTTTCTGCACTCCTCACTCTCCAAGAGATGCAGTTATTTCAGTTCATAGATTCAGTTATTTGTCTACCAAAATAATAAAAAAATGCATTTGAATCTGATTTGTTAAACTGTGGTTCTTATCTCATTTTCAGGGGAATGTTCTAATGATGGTCCAAGATGTTGTTGACTGTTTGGTTTGGGCCCAAGTGAATGCGCCGACATTTGTCTTTAACAAAGTAAGACTCACCTTAGATTTGAAAAACAGTAGAGCTGACTTAAGCTATAGTATATAGTATTGGAGGATATCCTAAATCTAAATATTACCAAGGTCATGTTTTTACACATATTTGTCATGGCTATAAATGCAATGTAAGTTTCATTTCTTGGATTTTGGGATTTTTTCCTTTTTTGCTGCGTGGAATAATTATACAAGAAGCAACATGAATGTCATAAAAAAGGAGTTTGAATTTCATGTTGATTTCTGTCTGGGGCTGAATGATTAGCCAACTATAAAATTAATCATCAACTAAGTAGTGACAGCTTATTTAACTGGATTATCTAGAGTAGACCATATATTGGCCATTTTCTAAAAGAACAAACCCAATCAGAGGAGTAATTAAAAACTATACGCTATGTGAAAAGTATAAACGGTTTCCACATGAGATTAAAAAAAATTTACTCGTCTGTAAATATGCTCCATCCATAATTCCTCAAGGGAGCAAATTTTTTAATTCATTATGTTCACACTCTGTGGAAAAAAAAAAGGCCTTTGCTGTCCAATTTTTTTTGTTGTTTTTATAAGAAAAGAAATGAACATTAATAGATCAGTAAAGGGGAGTATATTTTGGACACTCGAATGAAGAAAAGGATGGAGTTGTCCAGCGATCACCTGGTTGTGAACTGGATACACTGGAAGAAGATGAAGCTGGACAGACTCGTTAAGCCCAAACCAGTAGTGAGAGTTTGCTGTATACGTCTGGTGGAGCTCTCAGTCAGGGACCTGTTTAACTCCCACCTCCAACAGAGCTTCACCCTGATTCCAGGGGAGTCTGAGTGGACCACATTCTTAGGGCTGTCACAATAACCGCACAAATGAAATATCGCCATACCAAGAAGCTCACAGCGCTACAAAACCAGCCACCACCATCACTGCATCTTGGGACAACAGTTGAGAAGGATACAATGGCAGCTGCACTGATATCAAAACCAAATGTTACTCCGCCCCTTTTTTTTATTAAAGATGCTGAAGTCAAATTTGCCTTCTTCTGAATTTTGTTAAGTTCAGTCGGAGAAATGATGCAGATCTGTGCCATTACTGCCCTTTGATCTGCGTTCAATATAATGAAATTGGCATGTTTTTTTTTATAACCTTTTTTTAATATTTAATCGCCATGTTTCAAAGAAAATTTTGCAATGTAGTTGGTAATTTAACAATATACAAACACATTTTTGAAATAAATAGATTAGAATAAAAAAAAAAAAAGATGGTGCAATAATATCACATATTGTGATATTTAGCCTCCTTGAATAATTGCAGAGGGAATTCCTCAACCGCGACAGCCCTACACATTCTCAGCCTCTTTTATCGAAGGGGAACCTAAAGCAAAAAAAAAATCTTTTGCTTTAGATTCCATTTTTATTATATTAGTTTCAAGGTTCATGGAAAGGATTATGCTTTTAATAAACCCCATTCTTTGTCTTATTAGGATCAGATTGTTTTAGTTGGCCATTCAGCGGGTGCTCATTTGGCAACCCTGGCCACCCTACTTCTTCTTGATACACGAGAGGAGCTGCTGATAGAGCCAAAGCTACAGCAGGAGATTCTACATTCATTAAGGGGAGTTATTGGTATGTACATCCGTACCTCTTTTTTTTTTTAAACTCCCTGATGAAAATGAATTCTGTTTTAATAAATTATTATTATTTTTTTATTTTAAAAGTTGAAAGATTTGGTGGTTGGGTTATGCCATTGATATCATTATTAATATTATTTTTCCATTACATCTATTTCAATAGATTACCCCCTTTTTGTGCAATTGTTGCTGTTTTGTCCTTGAATAGGGATGAGTGGCGTCTACAGCATCATGGACCATTATAAACATGAGCAGAGGAGAGGAATTGAATTTATTTCTTGCATGTCAAGAGCCATGAATGGGGAGGAAAACTTTCCCCCGTACTCACCTATGCACATAGTAAAGAACATTAGCGCTGACAAGCTGAGGAGGTAAGAGGCACGCTCAAGAAGCAACCTGAAATCTGTTTCCTGTGTTATTTTTTCCACTCTTGTCAACATCTCTTTTCTTTTCCTGTCACTTCCAGAGCGCCCCGGTTCGTTTTGCTTCACGGGGGTTGTGACATCGTCGTTCCGGCCGACTCTTCCACAAAGTTCTATAAGCTCCTCTCCTCTCTCTCTGTAAAGGTGTCTCTCCACCTGCTTCCTGCTGTCAGTCACACTGACATTGTCACTGACCTCATGCTACCAAGTAGACGCTTTTACGATCCGCTCTTCGTATGTCTCCATTCGCAGTTCTTGGAAATCCTGAGAAACTTTTGACAGCCTGTGTGTTTAGTGTCGAGGTTTACAATCATCAGCCAACGAGTCCATAAATATCTGTAATATGCACTTAACTAACACAAAACACAAAGATTAACATTGTATTTGAACATTTGATGATGTTTAACGTGTAAACTACCGTAAATAAAATATTTTGAATTATTTAGCTGCCATCTAAATAGGGGCTTAAACAATTAATCAAATTATACTTGATTATTCAATTATTGAAGTTATTGTCAACTAATTTAGATATCGATTAATCATTAGATGGATTATGGAGATTAAAAAATAAGCCTTTAGCTGGAAGAACAACCTACTTAGAGCAGTAATTATACAAAAAAAAAAGAAATTTTTGCTTTTGGGTTTAAAACTTTTTTTGTCCATCAACATTCTCTATTCAGAACTCTTCAAGTGGAAATGTTTTAGTTTTACCTGGTTTAAATTCTATATAAAGTTTCTTTAAGGAACCTTTGGGAGTGGCGGCCTAGTGGGTCACTGAGGTTCTGGGTTCGAGCCCCACTCCCACAGACTGGGTCTCTGAGGTGCCGCACAATGGAATCCCACTGCTCCCCGATTGGATGGGTTAAATGCAGAGATGAATTTCTCCAATGTGAAATCAATAAAGTTCAATCATTTATTTATTATACTTTCATTATCCGATTATTGATCAAAAGAATCATCAACAGATTAATCGATTAGCAAAGTGACCGTTATTTGCAGCTCTACATCTAACTAAATGTCTAATAAATAAATGCTCTTTTTATATCTTCCTAGCTTTAAGGATATTACTTTTTTCTTTTACTCATGTCATTCACAGGAGAGTGTTAGTGTATGAATCTCAGAGCTCAGCATAGAGGCTGTAGACTGAATGTATATAAATCACTGAATTGACTTTATTGAAATATTAAAGTTATTGGTTGGTTGTGTTTTTTTTTATAGATGGATAGATATCACTGGAGTCAATTGTATAGGTGGGAATATGAGTTAGGCATATATCAAGATTCATGTAATTATTTCAGTAAGATATATTGATAAAAAAAAATTGCCATATAAGGAGTTACAACATGTGCAAGAAGCCATGCAAAACAATTCTTTTTCAAGCTAAATAATTTCCCCATTGTGGGACAATAAAGGGATTTTCTATTCTATTCTATTCTTAAGCTCCAGCCATAGTTTCAAGCAGGATTTAAGACACTGAGTTGAAAAATTTGAAGAACACTTTTCCAGGCCTGTGTTTCACATGTGTGCATGCACAGCCCACAATAAAAAGCAAAAATATTGTTAGTGCATAGAGAAGGCTCAGGGTTGTGAGAGAAAGGAAAGGTAGATCAATAATGCAACCAGTAATATAGCAATATAACAATTTGTACATATGTAATGCCACATCTCTTTGTTTAAGAGCATCAAACTGTATTTCAATATGAAAGCAGGTAAATATTTACACATTTAATAATATGCCAAACATCACCAGGTCTTTGTTAAATAGCATAAAACAAATCATTTTAGTCTTAAACCGTATAGTGTCTCTGTCTGTTAAAGAGAATACATTGGTGAAATACCCTTCTGTTTGTAAACATTGTAATAAGTGAACTGTGGAAATGACATCAACAACATGCTTTCCTCTGGAGGAATTAGCACTAGGATGAAATATCACAAAGCACTAGCACAATGCTTTTGGAGACACGTCACAGCTCCACAGGTAATGTCAGAGCATGGTTAGAAAAGTTAGCTTGTTCGCCATTTTATTTCATTTATAGTTTAGTATAAAATACTAGCACTGACCTAAAACCTAAAAAAATCGATTCCTGTGCTAAGTGCTAAGAGACTGTCAGATCTTAAACCTAACAACAAATGTTTAATATATCTAAAAGAGCCTCTTTACTCTCCTCAAATATTGGATGTTGTCATGCACATAATGGAAAATACCGGTAACAAGATGATCAGCTTAGGGCATATAGACCATTCCTGTGTATGTGAAAAACTGTTTTGCAGACAAAGAAAGGACATAACATAATTATTATTTTATTCATATTGCTGGATATGCTATGACAATCACAGCAAACAGTGGTAACCGTTACTCTCAACTCATTCCTTTTTCAATGGTTTTTAATCAGTTTGCTTTAAAATAAAATATGAAATGAAGTTCATTTAATATTAAAGATTAACTTTTGGTTTGCTTTATTGTGTTTTGTGTGCAGACAGGACAATTCTCGTCCATGATGTCATCCCGCAGCATCTCCCAATCTCCTAGTGGACATATTGATCCACTTATGCACTTCAGAATTTGAGACGAAAACGAAAGTTGATCATTTTAAATAAAGTTTATAAAAAAACAACACTGGATTTGGTTTCCAAGTTGGAAGACATTTCGCTTCCCATCCAGGAAGCTTTTTAAATTCAAAATGTCAGAGTTAGCGTTTAGTTTGATGCTTTATATAGTAGCCAAAAAACTTGTTTTGGCTCAGAAAACATGCAAATTGTACCAGAAGATCAGGTCTGCCCCTTAGGAATGGGGAGTCGTTTTGGGGTTAATTATACACATCAATTTACTAACATTAAAGATGGTAAGTACAGAATTCATGCTCTTTTCTGAACTAGATTTTGTCTTATATGGGTTAAAGAGAAAATGCAAGTCATCTAGGAGTCTTTAGTGAAATCAGAGATAAATAACTATTTTCATAAAAACGTATTAAAATAATACATTTGTGTAGATATTAGTACTTGTGAATATCAATTTTATGCAGAATGATTATTGATAGAAGTAAATAAGTAATAACAATAGAAAAGATTTTCACCCCAGAACTCAAACCTGAAAGAATTGTATCCACTATGCCTTTTATCTAGAAAGTTTAAATATATGTGTCTATTATAGCAAAGGCTGTAGGAAAGTACAGTTTGTCTTATCTTTGGTTTGACCCTGAGGTTCTGGCGCCTATCCACTATCAGCCACCCCTCAGTGTACATTGGTTATTGCCTGGCCACCCTTAAAAAAAATTCTACCTACGCCTCTGTTCCAAATTATATTATATTTGAGTATATTACTCTTCATTACTGAGGTTGTCATAAGGTTAAATTTCCCTATGGAGATGAATATAATTATTTTTTATTGATTCTGATCTAGTTGTTCATGCATGAAGAGACCAAACAACCTATATGGTGACGCAATATACAGAAAAAATCTAATGGGCTTTATTTTCTTATTAGGAAAAAATATCTGCATTAAAGCTGCTTTTCTTAATAATTCTTTTTTTTTCGGACGCTAAATGTTGCCTTTAAAATACAAACAGTAGGGTTAATAGCAAATTAAAAAAAAAAAACCTAAACATTTAAGTCCTTTTATATGAAGGGTCTAAAGTTTGGGGATATATCATTTTCCCCCCAGCTTTTATTTTGAAATTCGCGCACTAGGCGGAGTTCTGGGGGCCCTCTGAGCTGTGAACAGACGCGCTCCATTCCTCTTCACTTTCAGCCATTTGAATGTGAACTGGACGGAACCGAAGCACGAAGGAGTAAACAAGATTCGGTAAAAATGTGAAGGGCAAGGTCTGCTGAACATTGCTGTTTCCAAAGGGAGAAAAAAAATGGACTCTGCTGAGAAGAAGAAGGAGTTGTGTCTCTGCGGTCTCCTTTGGTGGTCGCTCCTGCTTCAGCTTGCGTCTGGAGGTAGTTGTTGTTTTTCAATTGTTTTTGTCAATGAAAACATTTAAACATTTATATGTTACTTTCAGGTTCTGCTTGAAAAAACAAACAACCATAAAAAAATAACTTATGTGCAAAAACAGGCAAGTTTGACTTAGTTTTCCTACTTAATAGTTGGATTTATTGTAAAGATTAACTAAAATATCCAGTCAAAATTATCAGTTGTAAAATAAGGAACCCTAAAAATAAGCATTTTTTCAAGTGCAAAACACTATAAAGATGTCCTGTGCTTGATGTTGATACAAAATTATATTTGCTGTATGTGTTTGTGTTTTTGTTATTGCTGCTGGTGTGATTTAAAGGTTTTATTTGTTCACCTCATCCAAGCAGGATGGAATGAAATCTGCATGTAGAGGTTCTGGTTGGGGGCAATGAAAGGCTGTAAAGTTACAGTCCTTTATAACTTCTGCAGAAATCTCCCTGGCTTTCTTTATTTGCACATTATAATAGCTGATAAATGCAGTTTTCCTCTATAAACAACATTTCTGCATGCATGGATACCCACTCTGCAGAAAGAACACCGGTTATTGCATTACAAGACCTAAGGGAGAGAGATGTCTTTGTTTCACAAGTGAGCATTATTAAATCCATGTAGGCATCCTTTAGCTATTCTCCTTTATTTGAACCTGACATGTGTCGTCTGAATTCAACTTTGATCCAGACTCTACCCTGAGGGGATCATACAAATTATTCCACTTTGTCATTCACAGAAAATGCCCAGGATGGAGATGTTTCCCTTTATGTCGCTGTCTTTCTGATTTCCGTCTTTCTTTCACACTTTGAACCAAGCCTTTGCTCAAAAGATCTGCGTCTGGAGGTTTTGACAGTGCGTCGACTTTGGAAAAGATTCAGTCGTGTTGCATCTCCGGTCTGCTGAATAAACTGAAAACACAGGCAGTGACAAGCACTGGTCTACCCCCTCCAAATTAGCCCTGTGTTCTCTGAAAAGGTCACCAGCTTTTTTGCTAAGGTAGATGTCTGGGAAATCTTTCAAAAAAATGTCACCTCTTTAAAGAAACTTGCCCCTGTTGACATGAAGATTACAGGATAGTGTTTTAAACAACCTCCTTTTTGTTCTGAAGGTGTTTTTGTCTGACCTGCTGTACTCTTTCATTTACATGCCTTCAAAAATAGTAGTTTTAAACACTTTTTTTTTATGAAAAAAAGATTCAATTATAGAAAACATTTTGGAGGAAAGAGCTTCTTCCTTTACCTAATATAATTTCTATTTATTCTAATGCAGTGTTGATGATGGATGCGGATTAATCAATTTAGCATTAATTTCTATCTTTCTGAATCTGGTGCAAAACATTAATCTCCAGCTTTTATATGGGCTCATTTTTAATTAGTATAAAAAGCCACTCAGATGAGATCATATTAAGAACAAGCCATATTTCACTGGTTAAACATATTCTTGTTTGGGTCAGTGGAGTGGGATGCTGCTCTGCAGCAAGAAAATGTGATATTATCACATCATGCTGCAGGGCAGCAACATATTTTGCAACTTCATCAAGTTATATTGAATTGTAGGAAGAAGCTGGTCAGATCTCTCCGTCTAAAGTTTCTCTGTTCTGTTTTTGCATATAAAGCTTTTTCATAAAGGCACAT